ATACAAAGATAACTATAAGACAAAAAAAGAAAGAAAAAAATGACGCAAAAAAACCGAATGAAATCTAAAAGCCTGCAGATTTAGTCAACTAAATCAAGACTAAAAGAAGACAAGTAAAAATAACAAAAGGTTTCGTTTGGGCAAGTCAAGATAGATTACTTTTACCTAATAATGCATAAGTATTATATTTGCATGTAGCTATCAATATTTAGCTACATTTAACGAGTGTTTAAAGGGTTTGTAGCTTAATTAGCACCCCATACTTTCTTCTTACTGAGGAGGTCAGAAGTTCTGTACCCCATATTGTGTGATGGGTGTGTGGCGTGAATTCCCTCCACTATAGAAAATAGGGCTTTAAATTATCCGTATAAAAAATGAATATTATGATAATAAATTATTAGTTGGTTATTTTCAATTATATGTGCCGTTGTGAAATTACTCGGTAATAATTTATTTAAATATTTGATGCAATATTCGAATATATAAAAGGAGATGATAAAAAAAAAAGTTAAAAATTACTAAATCCCAAATAAAAAGTCAACAAAAATTTGTTATCATTTGTAAATTTAGTATTGTTAATACTAAATAAAGTGTTGTTATCAAACCTAATAATTTCTAGCTTCTTTTTTTTTTGTTACTTTTCCTATATAAAATGAATTAATTAATTAAATTTTATTACTCCAATTCAATCTTGTGTCGGCCATAATGACATCACTTTACCATTGACCTATTAATCCTTGACCGGTGCCTTGACCAGCATATTTCTAAAAATAATGTATCTTCCACCAGAAGCAAAAAAATGGGGTTTTAAATTGTCCGTATAAAAAAATATTATGATAATGAATTATTAGTTAGTTGTTTTCAATTATATGTGCCATTGTGAAATTATTCTGTAATTAATTTATGTAAATATTTCATACAATATTCAAATATATAAACTAAATTGATTAATTAAATTTATTACTCCCAATTCAATCTTGGTTCAACCATAATGACATCAATAAACCATTGAACTATTAAATCTTAAATCGTAGACCGGTGCCTTGACCATCATATGTTAAAAATAATGGTATCTTCGTCATGACTACGCAAAAATGGGGTTTTAAATCGTCCATATAAAAAATGATATTATGATAATGAATTATTAGTTTGTTATTTTCAACTATATGTGCCATTGTGAATTACTCTGTAATAGTTTTTATGAAATATTTGATACAATATTTGAATATATAAAAATAAATTAATTATTAAATTTATTACTTCCAATTCAATTTTGTTTCAACTATAATGACATCAATGAACCATTGAACTATTAATCTTAGTGGACCGGTGCTTGACCAGCATATTTTTAAAAATATGTATTCGGCCTGACCATGACGCAAAAATTGGATTTTAACTTTGTCCATATGAAAATGACCATTATGACAAAATTATTATTTGGTTATTTTCAATTATATGTGCCATTGTGAAAATTATACTCTGTTAATTTATTTAAATATTATACTATTCACAATATTTGTTCAATTATATAAAATTCATTAACATAATATAAATTATTACTCCCCAATTCAATTTGTTTCAACTATAATGACATCAATGAACCACTGAACTATTAGATCTATGGATCGATGCTTTGACTGCCATATTTTTAAAATAATGTTATCTTTTGTCATGACTGCGCACAAAAATAAGGTTTCAAATTGTCCATATATAAAAAATGAAAATATCATTAATAATTTAATTTTGAATTATTTAGTTGTTATACATGCGATCGTTTAACATTACACTCCAATGCTTATACTGAAATAAATACTCATATTTGAATATATAAAATTAATTAATTTATATAATTGAATATTACTCACTATTAATCTTATTATTTTATTACTCCCAATTCAATCTTGTTTCAACCATTGACATGAATGAACCATTGAACTATTAAATCATAGACTGACGATCTGAACATATTTTTAAAAATAATGGTATCTCCAGCCATGACAGCGCAAAGACCATTACAACATTTGGTCAAATCTTCGATCGGGGCAACAAATGCAACTTCACACAGAAACTTACCTGATCCCACTCCCAAAACAACGTCCATTTAGAACCTAGCTCCCAATTCAATTTAGCGACAGCAGTGGGGAATTCATAATTTGACAATACGGAGATAAAGTAATTTCTCTCTATTCATGTTTACGTCTCTAATAACAAACTACCAAAACAAAGCACCAAATATACATTTATAATGTAAAACACTAATTTACAAAAAGCAGAGAAGGCCACATAAAATGTTAATAACCATTAGGAGGTACGTCCGCGTCACTAGCTTTCACAAATCGGCCTTGACTCGTTTCCGAGTATCAGCCCTCATCTTCCTAGACTCGTATCTTATGTGCTTCTCGTATCTACAAAAATAAACTCCAATATTCAAGTGAAAAAGAAACAGATTAATTAAACAACAACTCCATTACTTTTTCCCGATGACGAAGACTGATTACCGCTCACCCACCTTCGAGTTTTCTTTTTCTCCTTGTAACGGAGCATTGCAGTGCCCCTGTTTTGGGCCATCAAGTCCATGTCAGCCTTGCTTCGTCCGGCTTTTCCCATGTTGTCATCTGTAACAAGCAAAGGATGTTCCCCAATCTGTGTCTCCTTGACGTTACAGTTAACGTTGTGCTTTCCAGGAGCAGCGGCATTGCCAGATTGCTTCCTTGTTGGTAGGTTGTTGCTCTCTGATGTTGCTGCAGGCCCCTGACTTGCTGCTGTTGGGTTATTTGACAGGTTCTGCATTTTCATTAGATTACACGTCATCCCCTACAAAATTAACCCTGCAACAGTAAAAAGCATAATTTTTTTTGTTTTTTGTTTTTGTTTTGGCATATCTCCACACCACCTACCAGGGGCATAGGCAGAATTAATCTTGCAAACAAACTAATTTCATTAAGATTGGGGCAGAACTCATCTCATTAAGACTGACAAAGAATACTAAGAAAATCATCTTCATAAATCCATCTTCGATAATGACTTGGTCAGCTAAATATTCAAATGTAAATGCCCATTACTCAATACACAAACAAAAAAGGGGAAAACATCATCATAGCTATTGATATTGAGGAATAACATTGGATGCCATTTCTAGCGTCGAACAGTGGGCTATTTTTTGATTGTATAGGGTTAAGTTGAAGCTTGAAGCAACTAGTGGGACGTCTCACCAGCAAAGGTGAGCTTCAAGCCACTAAGGCATATGGCCATTGGCATCATTGTGCTTTTGACATAGATAATATTGCATTTCTCAATCAAACACTCAAGCGTTGCCATGAAATATATTTCGCTTGCAACAGCAACAAAATCACTCATGTATTGGCATGCTGTGCATTAAAAACTTCCCCACTTCGAAGTAAACAACTAATAATTGGGGGTGGGGGTGGGGGTGGGGCTATTGTTTATGTTTCTTCAGTAAGGCTATTGATATAAGTGATGTTCTTTAACATGGACGTCCAAGGTTCCACCTTACTAGAGATAGCCTAAATCGTAACATCCAAAATGGCACAAGGACACTAGAAATAGCTCCATGTCATGTCCACCTCGCAAGACATAGAATTACATTGGTTAAAAAATGAGCAACAACTGTAAGTCCATCATACGCTAGAATGATAATGGGTAAGAACGGAAGGGGAAAGTGAGGGCAAGCAGTGAGAGGGTTTACGTTATATGATGCCATATCATCGTATGCAATATTCATATCGTATATCTCTTGCAACAATTTTGTGTCAGTCATGGATGATTCTCTGATAAGTTCACTAAAATTCTTAGCTGCAAATCCGCCATCATTTGCTACATAGGCAGCTTCAAGTGCAATTGATTCTTCCTGATCCCTCAGTCGTCCAGAATGGAAATCCCAAATCTGCAAAAAGGCAGAAACTCAGCTAGACCTTTTCGCCCCATAACAAATTTTGACTCGCGTACTGCATAACAGTAATCAACAAATAGTAGTTTGACAAAAGAGTAAATTAAGGGAACAGATAATTAATGAATATCCTTGGCGGCAGTCATGGGAAGGCAAGGTGACTGAATCATCACTCTCATTAGTGACGACAGCAAGAAAAATCTTTGATGCTAGTTACATCTTCAATGTATACATGTTAGATGCTTTAAATGAGCCCATGATGTGAACTGAAGTGCCTAGGTCGGAAGCAGAATCTACTTTCAGTAAAGATAGCAACAAAAACACGGTCAAGAAAAAAGAAAGTAAAAACGCAATTCTTCAAGAGGAGTAAAGTAACAAGAGTTGCCCAAGCCCAGCAACTCCACGAAATACCCTTTTGCACTACACATTCCACTATATATACATTTTAAGTACCTAAAATGTGTGGAGGAGTAAAGTAAATAGTAAAAGGAAATCATACGGATCATGAACCACTTAGCCACCAAAGTAACCCAAATTTGACCTGAACAGAGTGCCTCTTGCAATTATTGTGCCACAATTTATCGCCTTCAATATGATGCAACTGCGAAGGCATCATAGATGGGGAATTAACTGACGCTTGGTGCTGCATTGGTTGCTGAGAAGCGTTAATCGCCTGCAATCCTTGAACATCATTTCCACAAAACAAATGGCTGCCCATCTCCCTGGATCTTTCTTGGCGCTTCGGGAACCAAATTCTCAGCCTCATTAGCAGCACTTACCCGAGCTATTCCACCTTCACCGTCAACATCACCGCCATCGCCACCGCCACCGCCACCGCCACCAACATCAACAACCACCGAATCCCTCTTGAGCAATTCAACCAACTGCTTGTGTATAACCTGTTTCTGCTCTCCCCAGCAGGGAGTCTGTTTCTTTGTAGCGTTACAGACCGCCTGGAAACCCCGAGACGGGTAAAGCATACTGGTTTCTCTTGGAACCATGACGTCATGAACTTCAAGAGGAACGCCATCGGATTTAAAAGGGCAGGACTCAAGTGGCACAAATAAATCCCGATAATCACCCCAGTTTTGAATCAAGAAGAAGGAGATTGTTCTAAAGTCTTATTCTCAAATTGAAATCCCCAAAGCGAAGCGAGTTCAGATGAAGAAGGACACCCCGTGAAACCCTCAACAGGCGTACGATGGTGAGAAGCGGCGACGGAGCATGAGGCATGAGCGTCCCAATCGCAGTCTTGGCAGAGAACAAGGTTGTCGGTGTTACACCGGACGGAGACAGGCTCGGAGGAGCAATTATCGCAGATCTGAGAGCGCAAGTGCTTGCGAGAGAGCAAGTTAGCGGAGTGAACGTGTTGATCGCAGAACAAACAGAGCTTGGCAGAGTCAGCTCTGCAATACAGAACAGCTGTTTGTTGCGTACAGAAATCGCAAGGAACGCTCTCGGGGCTTTGCGATTTTGGGCTCACCATCTTCGATGATCTCTAATGGCCTCACTTTAATGTACTATACTTACTTGCTTTCCTTTTCCTTCTTCGTAACGAGCATTACTCGAACCCTAGAAGAAAGAACAACTCTTTGGCTGGCTTTGGATCATATTTTGTTTTGCTCATTGCAGACGAAGTCAGTTAGAGAGAAGAAGAGAGAGATTTTATTTACTTTTTCAACTTTGCTTTTCGAACAGTCAGAATGCGAATAATTGAAATATGAAATCCGGGAAAATGGACAGCTTTACTATTAGGAGAAAGGTGGAGCCCATATCGGCAAAATATCTGGGTTCGTCTCGTTTCTTTCAAAATAAAAATACCTTGACCCTTTTGTTCAAGCTCCCCCCCCCCCGGCTAAATTGTTCAGCCGGTTCTTTTATATTAAAATAAATTTAGGCATCACCACGTTAATATTTTCAACATACTCTTTCAAGTCTTATGAATAAAATATAAATAACTGAATACCTAAATAAAATTAATTAACTATAATATGTGTAAAAAATATATTTTATTCTTTATAATATTTTTGTTTATGCGGGGAGAAATAGTGAATGAGAGGAAGGATGA